TCCTTTTTTCTTTTCAACACAAATTCCATGTATTTTAGCAATAATATCGGTAATGCTATTTTTGAGGGCATTATCATTTGCAGAAGCCCTCGGTCTTTTTCAACTGCCCTCCTTCGTTGGGCAGTTAATGGAAGACCTCGGGCTTCTGCAAATGATAATGGACTCAAAAATAGCATTACTCTTATATTAGTAATATGGGTCACGTGGCCCCAAGTTCTAATAAACTTGTCACTTGTCACTTATCACTACATACGCATGACCCGGGAGGTCAAATGGCACAAACGGCTGGTAGGGGAGCAGAGAACGTTATTAATGTTGTGTTTGTGCGAAACTGTAGCTTCTTTTTAAAGAAAGTTAGGACATTGCTGACGATTTCAGAGATGTCAAACGGCGATCTTGTCTCGGCTGTTCCACCATGTGAACAATCAACTGACAAAGGTGCACCCCTTCACAATAATAGACCAAACCAGTTGTGACACGGTCACGCAATACTTTAGTATTCACTTGATCAGGTCAAGCTGAACAAGCCTTTTTTAACCTCTAAGCAAATTGTTAAAATACATCATTGGTGGTGCACTTGTGTAAGTTTGATAGGCATTACTCAATCAAGTTTATTCCGTATTTTAGGTCACATGGCCCATAGTACAATTGTATTGTAAGGTATACAATCATTGTCACATGACCAAAATCATATTAAGATCTTAAACTAAATATTTGTAGCAAATATATATATAGATGTTAAACGTAGTATATTTGCATCAGGTGTGTTTAATATTTCTTTTAATGTTAATCTAGTTTTACAATATTTTTGATGGATAAGAAGTATTCATTACGGAGAAGAGAATATCTATTACAAATAAAGAAAACATGGTATTCATTTTCTACCACATTCCTATCACCGTGCAAAGAAGCAGATTCTACATCAGAATTATCATTGGCTTTCCTTTTACGTTGTTGATTAACTCTGATATCATGAAGAGATATTCGAAATTTACACATCCACCTAACTAAGTTTCTACTATCAAGTTTATGGGTATAAGTTTCCCTTTGGAAAAAGTTCTTTATACTAAAATAGTGTGTCAAATATGATGGTGATTCAATACTTTGCTGCCAGGATTGAATGTGGGGAATCAAACGTCTTCTGAATGTAGATATAAAAATATTGGCATCACCAACATCTTGCATAATCCATGCATAGCTAAAACAACTTGTAAATAGCATCGTGTTATTACATGTTCGCCATGTAATTGAAGCATTTCACAACAAAGTAAAGGATGAGGTGAAACATTCATTCTTAATAACTTAATCCAATATTTATAACTTTTATCTGTGATGTTTTTATGAATAAGCAGCATCGTCCAGTTTCTCCAGGTTTGATTCGCTTTACTGAGGCTTTATGTTCATTTTGTTCCATCATTAGCCTTTTATGTCCGTGTTATTGACTTATCCGTTTTTGCTTGTGTTTTGTTGCTGAAAACTAAACAAAAAGCTACTGTTACAGCCCTTCATTTTCACGTGGTGTCACCTTCAGTCACTCATCGCAGTGTCATTCTCATGTTGCCTTATGTACATAACGAAACGACTGTTAGTTTCTAAAACCATTCGTGTTAAGGCAGTCAGCATCAGGGAGATATCCGTGTTAGCTCAGATTTAGACTATACACCTCGCTCATCATAGAAAACATTTCTGAATGAAATTGTCGAACACTTGATGCCAAATAATCAGCTTACCAAACTGAGGACATCAATGTCCAGAGTTCCACTATGTTTCCTTTGTGTGTCTAATCGATAAGATAGTTTGTATTGAAATCCTCAACATGTTCCTTTGCAACGCGTTTCCAAATCATATATGATAATCGCCATCATATTTGAATATATTTTGTGGGATTCTGTCATATACATACATGTATGTAGAACATCATGGTAGTGCATTTGGATGTTTTGTATTGAACGAGAAGATGTTATGGGAGCAGAAAAACGTCGAGAAGACAAGGGAGAAGAACGAGTTGTTTCCTGGTCCCGTGCAATCTTAGAGTTCAATACAAAACATCCAAATGCACTAGTATGACGTTCTATGATTATCATGTACACGCTTATCTTGAATTTTGGTAATAAAACAAATCATAGCGGCAGACAGGGGTTCAATACGGAATCTGGGGTGCAATACGGACTTTGACCACGTCATCCGTATTGCACCCCTGTATAACTATCCTAAGTTTGCATGGGTATATAATAGGGAATGACAAACGAAACGCTACAAACTATCCTTCCATTAGTAGACAATTTCTCGCCAGACCCCTGAAACTTTGAATAAATGGCGTAAACGCTTTTCGTTAAACGTATCTGAAATATTAAAATTATATACGTACACGTTAAAGAATGAGAGTGGATCCATGTCATTTATGGTAGTGGTAAGAAAAAGCTTACAACGAGGCGAGTGGAACTGGCTCACTGATGGGATCCACCCTTAACTCATACAACGGCAAGGAATGTGGTCATAAAAACCACATTGGAACACACTAGAATAGGGAATTGTATCGAGAAGGTTTGTGTAACTGCGTTGGTTTGGACAAGGATCTTATTGTAGTATCGAAGGCTTCATCCTAAGCGTCACTTGAAATTCGTCCGACAATTTATCTTGAACCAAACTAAATCCAGAGATGTGTGAAGTTAAAACTGGCCAAAAATCCCATCAGTGAAACAACACAGTGCGTGAGTATGGCTTTACGCCGTTTTAACAATATTCCAGCAAAATCACGACGGGGGACACCCGAATTGGGCTTCAAACATTGTACCCATGTGGGGAATCAAGCCCGGGTCTTCAGCGTGACGAGCGAACTCTTGAACCACCTGGCTGCCCCGCCGTCCCGAAACCACAGAGAGCTATACGGGTATGCTATAATAAATGGCTATTCCTTATTAATTAATTATAAACACGATTGAAAGAATAAAACAATATGTACCTCGTGAACTATTTAAAACCAATAAAATTAGGTATGAAACTAACATGAAAATATTCGTATTCTATGAAAGACGGTCAGATCTGTTAAAGTCATCTATTATTCTTTCATCATAAGATGTCGCCACGAAGCATTGTCTATTGTAAAAAGACCTGTAAATCATAGATACTCTAGTAACTACAAAAAACAATCTTCGGCCAATGGAAAATACATTTGTATATGGCGCTTCGCCATAAGTAAAGCAGCATCTCGTATTTTTATAATTAAATTTGTTTCAATGTTGTCATAAAAATGCAAAACTGATTGTCCTATATAGGTATATGTGTATACCGGAGGGAATGTGATCTCAATAGACTTGGCAGCATGGTATGGTGTAACTTCTTGACGGCTGTCTGAATTCCACTGACAAGTCACGTGTTCTGAAACGACTTGTTAGCAAACCTGATGGGACCGATCTACGAGCACGGCAGCCGCCAGACACCTACTGTCCCTCAGGGGAAGTCTTAGGCACCACATCCCTCAGGGACCAGGTCCAAAGTAAGTGTACAAAGCTGAGCAGAAAGCATCGTTTTCCGTCCATTTCACGCCCGGAAAACTCGACTCGATTGGGAGGCTCACCACTTAATTGATTTTAATTTTTAAATTTCCGTTTTTTCGTGTGCTGTTTTTGTTAAACGACGGTTTGTTGTTTACAGTGAACGGTGAAGACATTGCTGTAAACACTGTGTCAATGGATCACTGGAAGTCAGTGAAACACAGCAGGTGCGCTGCTGATTTAAACCAAATATATTTACATTATCTCCTCTCAGTTGAAATACTAGTGAGTGAGTGAATTTAAATTTAAAGTCATTTTGGCAATATTTCAGCCATATCGTGACTAAAACAGTTCATACGTATATATTTTATAATGTTATAATATAAAATCTGTCGGCAAAGGATAGTAAAACTAGTATATCACAGAGATTGAAAGATATAGAGATTTTTCCACATATCGCCCATCAGCCATCAGCCATCTCCCATCGCCCATCTCCCATTGCCCATCGCCTCTGGCCCATCGCCAATCACCCATCGCCCATCGCCCATCACCAATCACCAATCACCAATCGCCCATCACCAATCACCCATCGCCCATCGCCCATCGCCCATCGCCCATCACCCATCTCCCATCTCCCATCGCCCATCGCCCATCTCCGATCGCCGGGATTCAGAGATTCATTACTGACGTGGCTGTTCTTAAATTTGTTAAATATAAAAAAACAAAGAATTTGTTTCTTTTCATGCAGGACAGAATCATGTATGCTGCTTGTTCATGCAGATTGTTTTCACACATTAATCTCACATAATGCAACCGGTCAGATGCCTTCATCAACAAACTCTAATCTGCACAGATGGGGATATCTGACTTGACAAATGTACAAGCTCATGCCAAAAAAACTTTGTGATCATATAAACCACAGGGGCAACTCTTCCCTGCCTGGTGCTCGGTTGGACGGCTCGGAATCAATTTCATGTCACTGAGTCGAGTGTCCATTTAAACAGTAACCTGCTATTCTAAAGGGTCACCTCTGTAATTTTCCGGTGATAGTGACATGTATAGGTAGCTAGACACACCTATACTAGCTAGCATACGCAAACACACATGCACACACTTGACTTTACATCGCTATATAGTGGAATTAATTTTGAACGCGACATTAAATACAACTTGCTTCACATCTCCTGTTTTGGGTAAAGGGATGAGACACATTGTTACACATGTGTTTGTCGGGTTAAAATCTGCCAACAGTACCGTTCGGTTCCGATTATATCATAAGGTTAACATGAACACGAGCCTGAACACGGGAACAATTTCAAAACAGGGAACAGCATCGGACATATTTGTAAGTCAAAATGTCGCAATGTCATTCACATGTCTGCCACAAAACCTTTCGAATGCAATACTGAAAACACATGAAATACGGCAAACATTTGTACTGAAAACTTTTGTACTAATTTGACAACATCTTGGTAGTGTGTTATCATCTTGTCACTCGGTACTTACCAGAATCATTCTGGCTGTCATGTTCACGCAGTATACCCCAGTGTGGTCGGAATGGTTCGGCTTCGGTCAGTCCACATGTACACGAGTTGTTGTCCGCGTGCAGCTCTTTCAACGGTATCCACCGACAATAACGCTCTGACAGCCAGTGATATCTATTACCTTTGTGTGAAACGGCTATAAATAATTAACAGATTGGTGCGGTTGCTTACAGAGAGAGTGGCATTACTACTCGGTGTATGAAATACTCAGCTCCTACCCGAATGCACGGTTTTAGTGTTATAGCACGAACGAATGGATTTCACTGCCACAATGCTAATAGCTTATAGCTGGGGAAGTTACAGGAATCACGGTGTGATGACAAAACAAGAATTACAAGTTGATAGGAAAACACAGGTGTCATGTAACTCAGTACATAGTGTTTAACTTCCACTAACACGATATGTCATTGAAACTATACGGATCTAATCCCGATGAAAGGTATTTAGCCATTTACATGTGTGCTTACAAAAGCTTTCGTGTGATCATTGAAACGCGGGGAATTACTTAATCCTGCACTTAAGTACAATCATCCATCTAAAATTCACATTGCCATTTATCGAATATAATATACTCTGCGCAAATCCTGAAAGGTCACCTTGTATAATTGGACTGACTGACTGACTGAGTTTGGTTTTACGCCGCTTTAGCAATATTCCAGCAACATCACGGCGGGGGACACCAGAAATGGGCTTCACACTTTTTACCCATGTGGGGATTCGAACCCGGGTCTTCGGCGTGACGAGCCAACGCCTTAACCACTAGGCTACCCCACCGCCCCCTTGTATAATTGGAGCTGAAAAACAAATTCCAAAAAATAAGAACGTATTGACTACAAATTGTATGTATTGGGATTGTAAATGGATTGGACATTGCGATGTCATGTCAATACGACGCCAATGAATTGAGCAGTTCAAACAGTATCATACAGGTAACAGTATCATATAGGTAACAGTATCATACAGGTAACGGTATCAGGTAACATTAGCGGCAACTGTTGTAATGCATTGGGAATTGTGGGTTGGACTTTTATTGTGAAGAATCAACGTACTGACTAAAAAGCCGATGCATTGTTTTAAATTCAATCTCATTGAACACAAGATAGATGAGTATCAGTGTCATCGTATTCGCGGCCACTGTTGTAACGCATTGGGAATTGTGGAAGTTAATTCTTGTGGAGCCAGCCATGTTGCCATGTTTATATACATGGCAGCACGAGGAATAGCGTTCCATTCCCGGATGCGAAGCATTTGGTTATCTGGATTTGACATAGAAATAGATAAATATAAATAGCCAGCGTAAATAATACAGAGTCTTAACTATCCCCACAAACAGATTCCATTTGGTGAGAGGGGCAGAAGAGCTGTGAAAATGATATTGCAAGGACCACTGAAAGTTAGTGTTCGTGAGAAGGGTAAGCATGTCCTGGCCTTAGGGTATCAGCCGTTGTTCACTCAACATTCCTAAAACAGTAAGTATTCACTGCATGACGCATGGGTTCTTCCCGAATAAAGGCACGATTGTTTGCAGACCAATCAATCCTACACATGTTTTTACGTTAGTCCATGCATCAGGGAATTAAAGACGGTTATATGTCATAGCAGTATACACATTGTACATCATCAGCTGCACTGACATTAGATATAGAATACCTGCTTCTCGTTACAGAAGTAAATTATTGTTTAATCAACATCTCCATAATAATATAAAGGTTATTGGTGGCCCAGGCGAGTTCACACACTCACACACACTCTGTGTGTGACTCTCAAAGTAATAAAGAAACATTTCCCTAGTTCAGCCTGTTATTAGTTTCTAACCTTAGTATCACACAGGCAAATATTTTCACATAATACCTCGGGCGAATGTATATATTTTTTATAATGACAATTGAAGTTAATGAAATAATTGCATTAGATTCTTATATTCGACGATAATCACATTGACGAATAGTTTCTGCCTTATCGTATATCCCGTATGCCGAAGGATACACGGTGTTTCCTTTTTATAGGAAGAGCCTAGCTTCCTACACTTGAATCGTGTGCCATATATTTCTATGAGTTTAAACCATCAACCATAATAACAGTAGGCTTAGCAATGCTCCCTGCAGCAGTCCTAGTTCTCCTCTGGGCGGGGCAAGGCGTGGCGCATCCCCATAATGGATCATGTGATTTGGTGCCACAGAATCGCCACAGACCACGAAATACCCTTGAAGCAGTGGTAAGAAGTTGTTTATTTCAAGACAGTTTAGGATTTGACGTTGCTTGAATCAATATTTCAGATATATCACGAGGGGACAGCATCCTGTATGAGAAACGCATGTCTTACACGTTTACCAGTTTGGTGGTACTCATGGCTTTGTGCAGAAAACCCTGTTCCGTGACAATCATGATCAAATGGTTCTGGCACGAATCAGCGACCTAACCCACTGTAGTACAACTAATTATATCGACTAGATAGACTGGACAACACATGCTGCAGCTGTGTGTTTTACTCACTTTAATGTAACGAATAACCAGGACGACAACACGTTTGCTGCTAATTAGTTTAGCGAGTTTAGCTTGACACCACTTTTTTAGCAATACTCCAGAAGGGGGACACCAGAAATGGGCTTCACAGTGAGTGAGTTTGGATTTACACCGCTTTTAGCAATATTCCAGTAACATCACCAGAAATGGGCTTCCCACATTGTGGGAAATGGAACCCGGGCCTTCGGCGTGACGAGCGAACGCTTTAACCTCTAGGCTACCCCACCGCCTCTGCTGTTAATTAGGTATATAAAGAAGAATTATTCCTGCTAACATCAGATAATTGTTTAGTTGATAGCATTAGAATCTACGAACGTTAGCCTAGTGTGAAAATTCATTTGGGCTGATAGTAATATAGCAAGTACTTGGCAGTTCATGGGGAAGTCGGAAAATGTCAGCCACAGAAAGTATACGGTGTACGTATTAACATAATACGTCTAACATTTGATAACACAGATTTCACAATGATTGAAAACGTGCTATTTTGTGAACGCCTAATGTCACAGCAATCACTTTAACTCATGGTAGGAAGATCCGTCGGATCAAGTGAAGAAACGTCACGCTACACAAACGAACAGATTGATGGGTACCGTTAGCTGTGTTGGTGCAAACTGACAAAGATGTTTGTTTTAAGTAGCTGAATTAACTCAGATATAATGCATAGCTACTACTTAGCAGTCGCGTCACGGATATTTTATTCCGAACAAATCACACTGTTTTGTTTTATCACATCAAACTAAGTCAACCCTTTCTCGCATGGAGACGTGACAGCTACATATCGATTAAACACTCTCCTTATGTGCCAGTGCTGAGAGTAACAGTAGTAAACAGATTGGAAGGTCTAGAATATAGACTGTATGCTTGTAGTTCATGAATCTAAACATTTTACTGGAACTATTTATAGTCGTCATCCTAAGGGGTTACCCATTAATATATTATACCACAAAACCAGGAAGCAGTCATGGGTGTGATTATCTTCTTTGGGTTCCTCTTGTTGTGTTGTTGGGCAAAAGATTCAATTACCAAGGTTGGACAGCCGTACAATAGACATCACACGTGCCAGCGGTGACATTTATCACTCAAAGTCAACACCGTGTTGGTGCAGGGTACTTTTCTCATGAATATTATACAATGTTATTCATACCCCTTCACTTTGTTCTTCCAGTGGTCTTGCAGTGTGGTCTCATGTAAGGAACATTTCTCAAGACTCACACCGATGTTTACATCCACGACCCGTGACTTGTTGCCTATACGAACATATTTAGCTCACACGCCATTTTATATGTGAAAGTATACTCACTTCTCTTTGTTTTCAATCCCCATGGGCCCTAGTATAGTGATCTACCTTCAGTTGTTGGCGATCTATAGCCGATCTATATAACTGTGATAGTCTAGTTTTTTAATAGTCCTTTGATGACAGGTATTATAATATACACGAAATCCATTTCAACGTCGAATAAATTTTCGTCACGATATGGCTGAAATATAGCCGATGTGACGTTAAATATTAACTCACTCACTCTCTTTGTTTTCCACTTAGTCAAACCTTAAGACGAGATGTAATTCAATTGAAAATATTTTGAGCGGTATTATATCCTCAGTCCGACCCGCATAGGCGCCCAGTCAACACTCAACCAATACTTAAGTAGAAAACTTTTATAAAGTGTATCTTCATATTTTATCTCTGCAAATAATGTTATCTCCTTCAGGGAGAAGACGACCATAAGTGGTGCACTTGTGCCTAATCCCGTTGTCTTTTGGACAATAAAATATGCTTAAACCAAGTAAATATATGTTGATTTACAATTCAAACAGGGTATGGTCACATGTTTACAAATTCATTTCTTACTGCGATCTTTATTGAACAACATTCTTATACAAAATTAACCGATTATAGTTTTACAAACTGTTGCAAGAATGATAGTTAAATAGCTATACCCTGATTCAACAACAGTTCTTTCAATTTACAATAAAACGCAGAGAAAAATAATCCTGGGTATATTTGTTGTGACCTACCATCTGTTCAGCTAGTCTGTCATGGATGAGAGTTAACAACAGAACTGAAATGTCAGTACACAAGTCTTCCTATTTGCACGCAGAAAGCCCGTTCCTCAAAGCGATCGTAGCGCTAAGATGATCGTAACTCCCATATTTTAACATAGACTTACGACTGTCGTAGCGCTACGATCGCTTTGAGGAACGAGGCCCAGGTATTTAGATGTCGGGTGTTCCTGTAACGGTTAGTCGGGTTATTGGCAACCAATACAGTTGTGGCACCATCAGACAGAGCAATCCATTTCAAGTGTAATTGAAAAGGCACAAACTGGCATATGACACCAGCATCGTTTGCCTTCGTGAAGGAGTGCACAATGAAATTCTTGTGTGAATGTTCACTCTCTGAAATGTAGCATGTTTACAACTTTAAAAATAACATTGAAGAGATTCCCACTAGCGGTAATTATTGATTTTGATTGTGGATGTGACTATGTGTTTCGATATACTCACTGTTTACATCTGCTTTGACGACACTTAATAGTCGTATATCGCACATGATAATATAAATTGTAGCATTGTGATGAGGGGTATACGGGGTTTTATGCGTTCCGTATTAGGTCTCGGAGGCGAGGTGGATACAACCTCAGGAGGGACCCCGTATACCCCGAATCATAATGCTACAACGAATTTATCTTACCGAATGTTCAAATCTCTCATTAGGTAAATGTAACTTAAAACAAACTGAGATTCAATGATATATGTTTGTAACATGGTACTGCCTAGTTGATCCGAACCACTGGTTCGCGGTTCACTGACTGCCGTGGATGCATGTTTTTTTCCTTGGGGCGGGGTATAAATGATGTATTCTCCCTCAAAGATTAATATCCCGCTTGGGTGGTGTACGGCCCTGCACCGAGAGTACGTGGTAATTTGTTCAAGGTCACGTGAGCCAATCAGAGATGGACATGCTTACATGAGGTAGGATAACAGAAATTACGGTACGTCGACCGTCTTCGTGATATGACGAAAACGTTCCGTTTTGATGACAGTATTATTTTATCAAATTCAAGTTTCAAGTCCATACGTCCTTTTACTGGCATTTTATTTCAGTGGAAGTCCCAACGACGCCTGACAAGACGTATTAAGATTTGAAAGGAATCAATATTAAGTGTCACTATATGTGTATATATGGGTATATCTGTGGGTATATGTGTGGGTATATGAAGGTATATGTGTGGGTATATGTGTGGGTATATGAAGGTATATCTGTGGGTATATGTGTGGGTATATGAAGATATACTTGTGGGTATATGTGTGGGTATATGAAGGTATATATGTGGGTATATGTGGGTGATGAACTGATTCAGGACTGGCTGGCTCGATTTGGATACATCTCAACACACACAGCCTGGTCCCAGGGTCCACAGTCTGTTGAAGCGTTGGATGCAGCCATAGCTTTGTTTCAAGAACTGGCGAGAATAAACATTACAGGTTGGGTTTTTCTCTACATTATTCGTGCAACATCATGCTCTATACTTGTGTGCCTTTCGAAAACTTAAACTGTACATAGCTGAATACTAAAATGATCATTTGTGGACACAATGGTGGCCTCTCATTGAACGGTTCACCGGCAAAAGTAAAGTAAAGCTACGAAACACGTGTTCACCAAATAGTTTATTAGAATCCAGTTGACAATTCGTTTTACCCATATGTCAGTATACTCTTTCAGTCTATGGTTGTTTCAGGCTATGTCTTCGTTCACTAAATGCGAGGACAGGTGTTTGAATGTATGTCAACGCCCACTCACTGCGTGTACACGTATTGGAGTTCTACATTATGTCAACGGACAGCAGCTGCATGAATAGTTGCTTCAAATATGTCATTGTTCACTACATGCAGGGATAGTTGCTTCAAATATGTCGTCGGTCACCAAGGGGGTGTATAGCTGCTTGAAATATGTCACTGTTCACTACATGCATGAATAATTGCTTCAAATATGTCATCGCTCACCAACTGCATGAATAGTTGCTTGAAATATGTCATCGCTCACCAACTGCATGGGTAGTTGCTTGAAATATGTCATTGTTCACTACATGCATGGATAATTGCTTCAAATATGTCATCGCTCACCAACTGCATGGATAATTGCTTCAGATATGTCGTCGCGTACCAACTGCATGGATAGTTGCTTCAAATATGTCATTGTTCACTACATGCATGGATAATTGCTTCAAATATGTCATCCTCACCAACTGCATGGATAATTGCTTCAGATATGTCGTCGCGTACCAACTGCATGGATAGTTGCTTCAAATATGTCATTGTTCACTACATGCATGGATAATTGCTTCAAATATGTCATGCTCACCAACTGCATGGATAATTGCTTCAGATATGTCGTCGCTTACCAACTGCATGTGTAGTTGCTTCGAATATGTCATCGTACATTAACTGCAGAGGTAGATTATGGTAATTATTAGGTTAGGTAGATTAGGAAATTAGGTAGATTAGGTAATGATGTCAACGAACAAACACTGTGTGTATTGTTGGTTACCTGGCAGCATCGACTTCAATCTAACTGCATAGATGTTTTAGCTGTTTATGCCATAACTTGGAAGAGTCGTTTCAGTTCTCTAACATCTGCAACATTTGCCACTCGCTTGCCACTGACCTGTCCTCAGGTAAACTCGATGAGGTTACGCTAGAGTGGATGGGGAAGGAGAGGTGTGGCGTTCCGGATGTACTGAGAAGAGAACGGCCGGGCAAACGAAGATATACTCGGAACACACCAGGTCAGTTATATCAAACCCATTTCACCTCGTTCAAGTTTTCTCATGATCGCTAGAGGCCGTGTTGTCTAAAGTGCAGCAGTTCATCATTGAAAATTGTGTTCCCAATGTTGCCAGAAACACGCCGTAATAAACCTGACTCGCCAAATCTTTTTCTGAAATCGGACTCAAACTTAGTACCTTAAACATGTGTTCATATTTCTTAAAAGCGCAAAATCTTTTTATGAATGCAGGTTTTTTCAACCGGTCTGTTTCACTGTCAAAGCAGTGTAGAAGCACGTTCACGTATGTTGATACTGTCTGTCCGTGATATATTTTGTACCCAATTGTTCATGTCAAATTGCTGGCGGTACAAACATATTTCTTGCCTCGTTTTGAAACAACAAAGAGTGGGTGATGGAAGTTGTCTTATTTCCACAGGACTTCCAGGCACACAAAATATTTTTTTATAAAGTTTTCACTCTTTAGTTTGCTAAAGCGACCAATATAGTTTGCGAGTCCAAGACTCATAGTTGTGGAATCTGTTTGAGATTTTACAATGCGTTCAATGACAGACCAGTTGTTAGAGTATTCGCTCGTCACGCTGAAGACCCGGGTTCGATTCTCGACATGGCTACTATGTGTGAAGCCCATTTCATGATATTGCTCGTATATTGCATAAAGCCGAGTTAAACTAAACTCACTCATTCTAGGCCAGGACATCAATGTATAATGAATGTCAAAGAATGCTATAACGAGATGCATCTATAACTGCGTGCATCAGAACCCCTGTGATGGCGTCGTTAACTTGGGTAACTAAATATTACAAGTTATCACGAAATTATTATTTTCCAATCGTTTTATGCAGACAATGCACATGCACCTCACGTCGAAGACTTACTAAAGTGGCGGAGAGTGTCATGTAAAATGATTTTTACCATCGTTCTTCTCAAATGTTGCTCAGTGTCGTATTTCCTTTATATATTCTCAGTTCTGAAATGGAAGAAGCATGACCTCACCTATTTCGTGACCCAATATACACCTGATCTTCGAAGAGGTGAAGTTGATCGTGCGCTTGCAGATGCGTTTCAGGTATGCTGTGTTGACAACGTGTTTGGCATGCTGCTAACTTGAATGTCAAATGAATTCGTGAAAAGGTACGTAGTTTAAACACTGAGCAGACCATTCCTGTAACAACAACAATTATCATCTTTCAACGTAAGATGCAACTGGCGGAACGGGTGGTCAGGCTTTCTGACTTGTGTCCCAAGTTCTTAGATCGATGCTCGTGGTGTTGATCACTGGAAGGACCCGTCCAGACTAAATGTACAGACCGCCGCCATATAGCTGGAACATTGCGGTGTGCGATATTAAACAAAATCAACCAAATTTTGAAGGATGTCTGAAACATATTGTTGGAAGCTTGCAAACGTTGGTGCTCTCAGACTGGAATCAAATCCTTTTTAGGCAAGAAGATAAGACGAGGGTTGGGTTAAAACAATCGACACAGCCAGTCTTCGATATACACTAAACTTCAGGAACGATCGAGTTTGCTGTTTGTTTACAACATATAAAATACGAGTAACTCACATACTGACGCTTCCTCCCATATGACCTCTACACGTTTCGATATTTTATGAGCGTTTCATACAACAACCCCACTGTCACACATGGCACTGCCAAAACTTCCAGAACTAAACCTATCAGGCTTGCACATGTGAAAGCTCAGGACTGCCACTCAGTTCAGTAGATTAAGATCCCATTTCTTTTTTGTTTAACCATTCCATTACAGAAGGCTGGCTTTCAATACACTGGATATCACAGACTTTTTCTCCAGACATACCAATTGTTACACTCTTGGAAATTGGAGATTTTCAAACAATAAACGACATATTTCAAAGTCCTTTACAAAGATGATATTCCAAAGAATGGGATTATTGGGAGATTAGTCCGAGTTGTGGAGTGAGTGAGTTGTTACGGTTCAGAAATTGCCGTGACAAAAGGTTTGTGAGTCTCCTTTATACCAACAAAATAGAAGACAGACAAGTCTATGATATTCAATAATATATTGAATAAACAATGAGCAAGGTTACAATGAATGACCGTCCAGATTTTTTAATACAATACTGTTGAGTCTCTAATCTAAAATATTAACTAAATGTCTATAGTTACCACAGTATTGATTCTTGTCGATGCCCTGATTGAAGATTGTTGACGGCTCGTGAAAGTATGTAGACAAGGTGTCTTTTTCTGTGCGGATATTCAGGTGTGGGCGGATGTCACTGCTCTGACCTTCACACGCGTCTCCTCCCCTGACGCTGTGGATATTGAAATAAAGTTTGTTCACGGTGTGCATGGTGACAACAATCCATTCGATGGCGAAGGAGGAGTACTTGCGCATGCGTTCTTTCCACCTACATACCCCACTAATCTGATTGGAGGAGACACTCACTTTGACGAAGCAGAGACGTGGACAATCCTGTTGGATGACGATGCTCCAGGTCCGTATAAAATATGTTGCTTATAATTAAGAAATATAATCACACTTTATAGGTTTTAAACGCATTTCACTAAATTGAATTCTATATTTAAGTGTGAGGTTTTACATTTTACCTCCAACATGAACATCATTGTTAGTTCCTAAACGACCACACCTGTATGTGAGAACTTACGTGGCTTATACAGTTTCTGTAAGTAGATCGTTTGATTATATCTTTACCTGTGTAACTCTCCCATAATTATTGAAATCATTGTCTGAAGCCTTCGGTCGATATTGCAGACAGCGAGTCTGACCACCGAATCCCGTTAATTGCCTCTTAATACAAGCATGAGTTACTGAAGACCAATTCTAACCCGAATCTTCACGGGTAACGGCACTTTGTAAAATATTACGGTAACCTGTAGCAAAATCACTCATCAGTATCTTTACACTACACACATCTGTCTGTGGCATTCATCCTATACCTTGTCATCGCAATTCTGTAGGACGAAGATTGTTCTGTGTAGCTGTGCACGAATTTGGGCACGCTCTTGGTCTTGACCACTCGGACGATACCGATTCCATCATGTGGCCGTGGGCACAAGGCTGTGGTAATGGAACGCTGGGGTCGTCGGATGTTGAAGCAATACAAAGACTGTACGGTAAGTTGCAAAGGATACCATATGGTAACGTTGAGAGTGCTCCTGTTAATATTACTTCATCAGTATCATCTATAGCTTTGTATTTGTAACACGTCCCAGTTGTGAAATATGGCTACATGTTGTAAATATTACAGTTCGTGAAGTCCTGTCAGTGACCCAATATAAGTATTTCAAAATCACGTCAAGCATGGATGTTTAACTACGTCTAAGAACAGCTGTTGCAGTAGCTGTTGTCAAGGGCATATGAATTGATAAACAGTAGATGTATTTTCGAATAAACTTTGCTAATTTATCGCATTCGGGGACAAAGTTCAACAAAGAACAGGGCATCTATGACATTCATATCAACAACTTCCATCACATGACGAAGGTATAGTTTACCCCTAAACCTTGCAGATCAAGGGTGTCAGAGGGATCTTTAATACCCAGAAAGTCTACCGCAATTCCCTTGTCAGCATCAGAGGGTATCAGCTAAATGTGAAATGAAACACCTATCACTACTCTGTAGTTACATAACCAATTAGTTATTTATGCAACTTATATGTATTAACGTTTCATCATGTAATGTTACTGCTTTCACGCAAATGTCAACAACTGAAAGAAGTCATTGATTAGATTGGGGTATTGTTATCTTAGTGTCAAACACGTTCACATCTGAGATTACACCGTCTAAGGAAAGTACAAATTCTAGTACTGTCGTTGGGTTGAGCCCCACCCGGGATTCAAACCCACACCTTCAGAGTCAGGCACCTAATTGTCAGCACACAATGTCAGTATTACTGAGAAGGTGTAATCCCAGATATAACCTGTGTTACATTTGACCACTTTCTAAATGGCTTTGTGTATTCATAATTTTGTTGTGTTGTTTAATGCCGCATTCAGTAAATTCGAGTGTTGACCCAGTGATTAACATCATGAGTCTCTAATTGCAATAACATGTCATAGATCACGCGTGACCAACACACCAATTACAAAAGCAGTAGGCCCTATCGATCACCATCGCAGATGAGTTACTCAAAATACTTTTGTCTGACCCGGATACTCGCGGGGATCAGTGGTTGTAATCTTATGCTGATAATTACAATAGCACAACACATATATGACTTGCTCTTTCAGGACCACCAGGTGTGTCGACCGTTTTCCCAAACACAACCACAACGCCCACTACTATAGCAAGTACCAAGAAGAGACGAGTAACGCCAGCTGTGCCTACAACAAAGAAAAAGGCGGAAAAAAGAACCACCCCCACCAAACAAACAACATTCCTGAAAACAAAAGCAACAACTGCAACAACGTCAGCTACCTCAACCACAACCTCAACGTCACCCACAACGTCAACAACTCCCCAGTCGACAACAAGAAAAAAGAAGCACAAGACGTCGGAGCCTACAACAAAAGAAGAAGGCGCAAAACTACCAAAGCCACACCATCAACAACGACGACAACGTCATCCCCAACGTCAACAACTCTCCATACCACAACAAGAAAGAAGAAGCGCAAGACGCCGAAACCTACAACAAAACAAAGAAGGCGCACAACTACCAAAGCCACACCATCAACAACAACCAGTACAACGCTGCCACCGCCGACGTTGCATCCCAATCCGGTGTGCAGAGGAAATGGCAAAATGGACGCCATAGACGTTGCAGGTGACGACAAAACGTACGGATTCAAAGGTAAAACCTTTTATTCCTGTCTCTTTGCTTTGATTTCACGGGTCTAACACGAAGATGTGTGGAACCTCTCACATTCACGTCATGAGGAGGAGGCGACTAACGGGATCAGGTGGTCAGTCTCGCTGACTTGGTTGACACATGTCATCGTACCCCAAATGCGTCGATGATCATGGTTTTGGTCACTTGATTATCTGATCCAAACTCGAATGCATGTATTTACAGACCGCCGCCATATCGCTGGAATATTGCTGAGTGCTGCGTAAAACTAAACTCACTCACTCACTCACTCACTCACTCACTCACTCACTCACTCACTCACTCACTCACTCACTCACTCCTCACTCAATACTTTCCACTCACTCACTCACTCACTTATGATTTCACTCACTTCATCATACTTTGTGGAGATTGGTTTATGACTTTTCTTTCATAAAATGCTGAGCGTCAGACTAAATATCTCCCGTCGGGGAGAGCTCTAAGTATTCATGGTCTGTGTCATCGTTAGACCTCACACTCAGACTGCTGTAGTGAAACAGCTCGTCTGATTCATGCATGCTTAGATTTGTGCATACGGCTCCATGGTGATACAAGACCGTATGACGAAAGGTATCACTAATCAGTTATGATTTTGAGAGCCGTAGAAGCACATGAGCTGCAAAATTGTCGGCCTTTGTGCTTCCAACGTAACAATGACTTTATTGATTCTGGTGGTTAACATTTAAGGTATGGAAGTATTCCGATTCAACGAAAACAGCGTTGATCCTGACTTCCCAGACCAATTGGTGATGTGTTCAATCCCGGACCACAAACAGTGGACGCCGCTGTCAGTTACTATTACACCTCTCGCTGGACAAGGAAGGTCCGATTCATCACGTACCTCTTCAAGGTAAATGTCGTTGACAAATTGCTTTTGGGGGAGCGTCAAGTGTGTGTCAGCACCATACTCGTGTCGGACGTTAAAGGAAGGAACTTCATAGTGCATATGGGGATCAGGGGCAGCAAGATAGTATGATATGGAGACCATTAAAATGTATGAGATATTTGAGTATGGAGACCATGAAATGTATGAGAGATTTGAGTATGGAGACCAACAAATGTATGAGATATTTGAGCATAGCGACCATCAAATGTATGAGATGTTTGAGTATGGAGACCATGAAATGTATGAGATGTTTGAGTATTACACTGTGAATCCTTTTCAGGACGACATTGTATGGAAGTATCAGTACAAAAGAAGGAACCTTCTGAAGATTTGGGAACCAAAAGAGTTTGTAGTGGAGACTGGCTATCCCAAATATATCACAGAGGAGTTTAAAATCAAAACCAGGGGAATAGACGCAGCTTTCAAACTGATGAAGAGCAACGCGTTTTACCTCACAAAAGGTATGACATGTCAGAGTTGTACATAAGGTTAAATGTTTGAGTTTTTGTTTGTTATTTAACGCCGCACTCAGCAACATTCCGGCTATATGGCGGCGGATTGTAAATAATCGAGCCTGGACTAGACAATCCAGTGATCAACAGCATGAGCATCCATCTACGCAATTGGTAGACGACGAACCTGGTTAGCTGTCTCAGCCAAGTCGACCTTCGTAAGAACCTAACACATTGGCTACGATCCCAATCTTAGGGCCGTTTAGTCATCAGAAGTTAGTCATCTACAGATATGTTACAGAAGACCAATTTTATCTCGGATCTTTGTGAAAGTGTATGCCAGTTGACCCTGGCTATAATTATGATGGGTAAGCCACGCCCACTCATAGCACCTTGCCACCATCACGTCCTTACTAATACCAGTATATCCTTTCCTTACATATGCATATACATACATATGTATGTATTCGAAATTCCATAAACCCAGATAACCCACATTGTGATGTTGCAGTGATGATTAGGACATCACAGAGCTACATCTACACAAAACATGCTGCCTCCACCATGTCTGTATCAATACCAACTGAGCATGTCTAGCCATGGCCATTTCCCTTAGCATCTTACGATTGCTGTTCATCGGTCAGTAAACGTATGTCTGAACCATTTCATAAAGTGAGTGAGTGAGTGAGGTTAGTTTTACGCCGCAATATTCCAGCTATATGGCGGCGGTCTGTAAATAATCGAGTTTGGACCAGACAATCCAGTGATCAACAGCATAAGCATCAATCTGCGCAATTGGGAACCGATGACATGTGTCAACCATGTCAGCAAGCCTGACCACCCGACCCCGTTAGTCGCCTCTTACGACAAGCATTGGTTACTGAAGATCAATATTCTAACCCGGATCTTCACGGGTACATTTCATAATGCGATCTCAGGTAAGTCGGTTAAAGTAAGGGAGGAACGATCGTCTTGGAGGAAAGATATCTTTGTGGAACGGGGATAGGCTGTCGTAAGTATAACAGAATGTACAATAATGTAACATGCACTCGCGATGTACGTAGCGCTAAGATCTCTTTGTGGTACGGAGCCATGGCGTGAAGCATCTTCATTGAGTCGTTGATGTTTTTCTTCCGCAGGGAATAAGATATGGGAGATTCAGATTAGCAGCAGAGGACTCAAGGCAAAGAAGCCAAAGAAACTAAGCAAACACCCGGCATTATCTTATCTTCCCCCTCTGGACTCCGCCGGACTCATGAACAGCGGTGGATTCTACTTCTTCAGCGGAGACTACTACCACCGCCTATTACCAATCGACCGTCATCGTGCTATGTGGATGTTTCCACGTCTCACTCTCAGGTGGTGGTTCAACTGCGACTTGGGCAGCATCTACGTTCCACTGAAGATAGCCAGCGACAAGGAAAAGCACTTTGTGAAGGAGGTCCACTTCTGAGGATGCTTACTTCTCTAAATATCCACTTGGCAACGTATTTGATTATTAAACATTTACATCATATTATTGACCGACAAAGGCAATAACATTAATTCACATAACTTTAACAAAACAACTGACTGTGAACATTGAAGCTATGTATGGTGTGTTTCTGAAACCGTTATCGCGAAACAAACCAAATGGGATGACATTTGCTCATAATTATAAATGTCATTGTATAATAGTAAATGTTATAATTTCATCGTCAGAGATAGCAGAAAGATTACCAAAAACCATAATAAAATGGAATATTGTTTTCCTTGTTTTCGTAACAACTCCCTGACTTATGTATCCATTTGAGAAATAATTAAGTTGCATTCTTTTAAAAGGGCCATTCAAGATGCATGATGGAATCTGGTCTGCGTTTACTCATGTATTTACAAATGCAGGTTGTCACCAAAAGGTCTAGGGGTTGAATTCCGTGACCACTATTTACAAAATACAATTAAGCAATGTTCCAAAGTTTCTTTTCTAATCTTAAGGTCATTATATACTAGCCACATAAAGAAACTGTGCATTGTCAAAATATTATCCCAGTTGATAAGTACGATAACAATGTCAAAGGTACATATAACCTTTAATGGAGGGATCATGAGTCAATCACAATGACGTTACAAGTCCACAAGTCCACAAGCGGGATAGGGGTCAAACGACCATGTCACAAGCTCAATAACGGGTATGTCCACCATCGGCATTGAGAACAGCAGTGCATCGACGACGCATAGAGCCTATCAAACGTGCAAGGAAGGCTTGTGGGATGTCACGCCAGATTCTCTCAAGTTCTGTTGCTAGGTCAAGGACGTTATCTGGCGGATGAGGAAGACGGCGTAGACGTTGATGCATCTCGTCCCAAATATGCTCTATCGGGGAGAGATCCGGTGAATTTGCAGGCCAATTCAGTAAGTCAACGTTGTGGTGTTGCAAGAAATCCATAGCAACCCTTGCCGTATGAGGGCGGGCATTGTCCTGTTAACCCAGGGCCATGACGTTGCAGAAAAGGAATTGCCACAGGTCGAAGAATCTGATCCCTGTAGCCCACACCAGTTAAGTTGCCCTGAACAATCACCAAAGAGGTTCTTTGGCGTGCTGTTTTTTCACCCCAAATCATCTTGGAACCACCACCACCAAAGCGATTCCTCTCCAAGACACAGGCCTGTGCATAACGTTCTCCCACGCGTCTATAGGCACGTTGACGTCCATCACTATGGGAAATGTTAACCCCGAACTCATTTGTAAAAACAACATTTCTCCACCAAAACAAGGGTCTGAGGACATGATTTCGGCACCACATTCTGCGAGCTTGTCGATGACGTTGTGTCAGGATAGGCCGTATGGCGGGACGTCGTGGTCTGATCCCGTGATGACGTAAACGTTGTCGAACTGTGTTGGCGTGGGTACGGCGAAGTCCTGGGATGGTTCGGGCAGTCATCACTGCAGTCTGAAACCTGTGGCGAAGATGGGTCACCCTTATCCATATGTCCTGTCTTGGCGTTGTTACACGAGGACGTCAGGAACGTGGCCGATCGATGACGTCATTTGTGTTCTGGTAGCGTCTCACCAGTGCAGAAATGGTGTTCCGGTGGCAGTGGAAATGTGCAGCCACTTGTCGTTGAGACATTCCACCACGGACCATCCCAATGGCCTCATGACGTTGTGCAGACGTGAGCCTTTGGCATGCTATGCGTTTCAATAACCGTTTAATTTTTTGAACGATCGCAAAGGGCAGGGGTTGAGCTTTCCAAAGTGACAGTATTGTGTGGCATTCATTTGCTCCGTTTCTTTCCCGGAATGCACGTGCAACAACGTATTGCACGTCTCAAGGACGAAGCCATTGACGTCACGGAACGTGGCACGTGCATGCATGTTGTATACATGTCACTAATCTCTGAGTTTGAATCCTTATGTGTCTACACAGGTTTGATAAATTTTAAATTTTTGTATGCACAGTTTCTTTATGTGCCTAGTAGTATCATCAGTAACTTCGTAGTTTTAGGTTTCTGTGGCTCGGTCATCTAAGTGGCAGGGGTCTGCTCAGAGCTGTGTTCCTTGGGCACACAAGGAACCTATGAACGAGGGTTCGATAATACGATGATAGAATTGTATCGTTGTGTTTGAAAAGAAATCCTCTTTCATGCATAATTATACATCTGCAGAAACAGCGCACTTTGAGCATGTAATACATATGCATCACTACGCGCCACGTTGCCTTAAATGCAAATAAACGTATCATTTGTTATGGAAATTAGAAATTGTACGCTCTATAACTACATAGCCATCATTGAAAATACAATTTTTAAAAAAACATATGTCCATCCTCTTCAATCCTCATTTTGATATCGAAAGAATATCCAAATGCATCCCGAATATAAATGCACTTCACAGTTTTGAAATTCTGTGGGAAATTCCCTTTCCATGCTGTAATGAGGGCGAAAGCTGGATACATCGTCTACAGTCATATAGAAGGAATCACCATTCATTTATTTTGTGGATGTTTTGAAATCTAATTATCGAACATTCACTCGGAGAAATAAATTTAAAAAAATGCATATTAGTGATCACACGTATCACCATTGATTGTGGATGGCCCTGGATTCGCTAAGGATGTTTTGGAAAATGCAAACACACGAACGCCGAGGTGATATTCCCGCCACATTGCGGAGTGTATATAAGCTCACGTTACACGTGTGCCGGTTATGTTACTCCTAGGTCACGTATGATTCAAACTCAGCTTCTATTACATGAGTCCCTTAACTCCTCATACATGTTACAATTACATGGTAATACCAAGCATCTCGGTGATACAATTACATGGTAATACCAAGCATCTCGGTGAAATCAACGAAATACGCCAGGTGTGATATCGAACGTCGTGTCGGAAAACAGCACAAGTTTGTGTGAAATGTAGACAATCAGATTACAGAATTTACCCTTTGTATCATTGTACTACACATCCTCATGACTTACAGAATATACATGGAGTGAGTGAGTGAGTTTAGTTTGACGCCGCCTTTAGCAATATTCCAGCAATATCACGGCGGGGGACACCAGAAATGGTGCTTCACACAATGTGCAATATACATGGAAAAGCATCGATGCAAGAATTGCGGAAATTAAAACAGATGTACTTATCATGCATCTTTCGTATGCATATCGTCGTAGAAAACGAAAACTATGTTTGATGTATAAATTCAAAATGAAATGGCTCCTCCATACCCTCCAGAACTGCTTCCCTTGAATGTTAGTTCTAAATCAAATTATAATCTACGCAGTTCTCTAAATATATCGATTCCTATTCCAAGACTTAAACATTCAAAAGAATCCTTCTTTACATCTACAATATGCTCTTTGAACAATTTACCTACCACCGTTCGTAATTCAAAAAGTGTTTCAACTTTTAAATCATGTAAAACTGATAACCATGCATATGCACCTCAGTATTATTCGTGTGGTAAAAGAAAATTAAATTTTATTCATACCAAGTTGCGTTATTCAGTTAGTTATTTGAACTTTGATTTGTACAGAGTTAGAATGAAAACTGATCCTATTTGTATATGTGGTGATTTTATTGAGAACTCGTATCATTATCTGTTTGAATGTCCATTGTACAAACAACAAAGAGGTAACTTCATGTTATCAGTTAAGCGCATTTGTTCATCAGCAGGTATTTCAGTCGACCTTAAACTTTTGTTAGAAGGAAGTGCAGACCTATCATCATGTGAAAATGCAAAAGTATTCAAGTTAGTGCAATCGTTCATTAGTGAGACAAAACGATTTGTATAGCGTATTGATATTATTCAGTATAAGCTCTGTCTCTTTTTACTTATATCATACTTTCTTGTCCACTATCTGTCATCTTTATTTGCGGAAATCTAAAGTATCTATGTACATACCAAGGAGAGGGTATTCTAAGCTGGAGAACGTGTTTCTAATCCTTTACTCAGTGAATAAAATATGTTTAAAACAATCTTTCGTATTTTATTTACACATTTCTGCACTCGATTACTTTTCACAATTGACAGGAGATCAGTCTAAATCAATTATGTCATAATCCAAGGGAGGTAACTCTGACCCTTGTTAACAAATGCGTCATAATGCCATAACACATATTTAGAGCGTTCTAATTATGATGTGAAAAAAGTGCATGTTTCTAAACATTAATATTACCTAATTCTTAAAACCATTTTGTTTCACTTACGAATAAAATTGATTTTTTTCATGCACACTTTCCCTTTAAATGGTGTTTGAGAAAATGTGTCCCTCTTGACAATCATGGAGACGGAAGGACGGAAAAAAGCACAATTAACCAATTTTGAAGTAAACCCTGACACAGAATTTGTACTGTAAACTTCGTTTGACACAGCTACAACCACCGATTCTGAGGTTCTGTGGTATTTGGGAGATTACGATAAGCGTATATTGTTTTAGGTAAAAGAAGGATGGGAAATTTCTTCGACGAAACAAAAGGAAACTATTTACTCATCCAATTTCAAACGTGCCAAAATATTTGTCTGAATGAATTTTCAAGGTCACACGCTATGAACGAGAATAATGACGCAATCATTTGGGGTGAGTGAACTGCTTTTTGCAACATTCCAGCAATATCAGGGTGTGGGACACCAGAAATTGGCTTCACACATTGTACTCATACGGGGAATCGAACCCGGCTCTTCGGCGTGACGAACGAACGCTTCAACCACTAGGCTGACTCTGCACGCATTGTAACATGTCAAACAGAGTCCACTACTATGATTCTGTTTCTGCAAGAATTTGTATCGAAACGTCGCACCCACGAAATAAAAGTAAGTTGTTATCCATAAAGTTTGTTCAATATTATCAGTGCCTTAGGATCTATACCTATCAATCTGATGACGGACATTGGGAGAAGGCCCCAGCTTCATCTTCTTGCATTCGAATAAGGGTTCGAAGTATCATATGCGACACTGAACGCATCAATTTCTTGGAATCGTCACACAGGTTCGTAGTCTACCGTATTTCTTCAATACGTTTGGTTCGTCGTATCCCATACATAATGACTTCATAGTTGATTTAGTGTGCCAATTGTGTCTTATCTAAAAATACTACCATTTGACCTCATGTTGAGGATCCTGTAGTACGTGTGCATTGAAACTCTATACGGGTTATTACACAGTCGTGTGCGAAGTCGGTCAGTTCACGCTGAAGTGTCCAGTTTTCAATTGAATCTAACTGCTTTTCACCAACGTGGGATTCAACCAAGGCCAATTGGTTTTTTTCATACTCTATGCACTGAGAGATTAAACCCGAAACCATGTTTCAACATTGACTGCAAAATACGTAGAATGGCTTGGGAGCAGGCAGAAAAGTATTTCTGTCGACATGCCAAAGTCCATAATTTATAATTTCTAAGACTTTCACATGCCATGACTTGTACGTTTAAGCAAAATCCACTGACAAAGCTGCTTCTGAAATGAATTTACGAAAGCCACATTTTAAGGTCTGGGGTATGGTGCAGAAACTTAAAGGATACGGGTGTAAAATTAAGAGTTCACCATATCAAGGAACGTGATAATTTTGTAAACGTGGAACCTTTTGAACATTTATGAGGAAAGTGGAACAGAACAATCTCCAGAAAATAAGGCACATCGCTCCCAATCTAAATAGAATCTGAACAGAAACGAAACTAAACATTGCGTTCCTCAATATAAAGAAGTTGACATCCATATAGGTTATCACGCGAGTGTGTTTTGGGATGGTTAATATCCTGCATTAGGAATAATCATTGTATTTAGCGAGCCTTGGCGATCTAAATACATAGTGTTTATTCCTAATGCAGGATATTAACCATCCCAAAACACACGAGTGTGATAACCTATTTATCATACAATGTCATTTTTGCTTTATAATTTTAATAAAATGCGATTTCAAATGCCACAAATCATGAAACTAAACTTCGTGGAATGTCTATGACGTCACAAATATGTGCGGAGTAATACGTTACGTCGCAAGCCCTGATCACTCAGCGGTCATCTAGTTCCCAGTAAGCTTTTATGCTAAAGCACGTATTGTTGTCAACAAATCTTAGCTTACGTTTGAAAAATAACAACAAACTCACGTGGAACTTCAGAAACCTTCAATTAACCTTTTGAACAACCAAATACGCTTTAATGTTAGCGTGACACTGTGCACCGTTCTCTCGCTAACACTGACAATCGGTCGGGGAACTGATGTTGGTAACTTCGTAAGCCTATGAATTTCTATCTTCGCTTTGTAATCTACTCCATCTATCAAAACCAGGCATGAATTTTCTGGGATCAAAGCACTGACAGTACCGTAACCACGGCCGTTAATCCGGACACGACCGCCGACCCTTGACGCCATGTTTGTTTACACTGTGAAAGTAGTCCCTGAAATTTGCATATGACCTCTCTAATTTGCATCGATATCCGTATATGACCCCAACGGATATCGAAAATATCCGTTGGCTTTATCCTGCCGAGAACACTATCCATTGTATGATAAATAAAACATTTCTTCCTTGTGTGCACCACTTCTCACAGACCTGACGGATTGTGATCAAGCACCGATAGGAAAAAGGGCAAATGGCTGGTGACCAGCAATCAACCGTGACCGGTGTACATACCTGCCTAGGACTTGGGACTTATTCATTAATTACATATAATTTCCATTTCTTCACAAGAAGTTAACTTCTCGCGTTTATGTGTATCAACTATAAATGTTGTTCAAAGATTTTATGTGACCATCGTCCGTGTCTACAAAAACCTAATATTGCTTCACTTATTCAGTTGAACACAATAAAATGTTTCAAAGTAAGCCAATGCATTTCATTTTTGGGACCTAATAATACATGAGCAGTTCAGTTAACGAAATTACATATTGGTCTTCTAAACCTACAGTGAAAAAAAAACTTGGTACCCTACTGTAATATTATCTACTGATAACCCAAGAGTTAGCACAAGAGCAATTAACATAAATATTTATATAAAGATACCATATTAATGAGATTTCCTTCCAGAGTGAACTATTTCTGCAAACAATGATCTTTTCTAAGTATACATACTTCACACTTATCATCATTGACCTTTCGTTGCTATTTTCAACTAATCAATTCTTCACTGTTATCTTCTAATGGCGATATCAAACATGAACATATCACGTGCAGAATGAAAGTCTTACAATTCAACCAATTAATATCAAGGTTCTAGAACTATGGAAAACAAATATTCAGCTATATCATTTATGTATAAGAAGGTCATCCCAGTAGAACACGTGATAAATATTTTAAAAAAGATGATATTGTCATCTTTTAATGATACAAGAGACAGCTTCGTATACATCTAACTAATTTAAATGTTTGATCGCTCATATCTGAAATCCTTAATTTAATCCAAAACAGACCCTTCCTGAAGATTGAATCAAAACTGTCCCAGATCCCCTCAAAAACACATATTGCAATCTACCCTTCCGAAGAAACAAATACTTTGAGATACTAGAACCAGGTATATTTATTCGCAGTCTAGAAACCAAAAGTACGAAATATCAGATACGAAAAAGACATCTTCGGCCAAATTGTAATTCACTGCCATGATTGTCCACTACCTTGGAGTAGGCTTATAGTCCTGCATTGTATACATTGTTATTAATTGTATCCTTGTTGCCCTACTCTGGCATAACCTTATTGCTCCCGTGATGATGCGGGTTAGAATTGGTCCTCAGCAACCCGTGTTTGTCGTTAGAGGCGACTAACGGGGTCGGGTGGTCAGGCTCGCTGCCTTGGTTGACACATGTCATCGCATCTCAATCGTTTGTTCCCCTTCATCTCAAGTATACTCATATCACTGCAAAATCTATCTTGTGTCTTTATTTCTGTTGACCCACTTAGGCTTTTTGACTGAAACTTAATGCCTTTTGAACGAACAATTTTTCCTCCTACTTTCCAAGGAAACAGGAAGGTCAGGAAAAATGTTGTTGACAAACATATTCAGTGTCGACTTAGCTACTACCCTCGTCCGGCTTCTGAATCGTGGGAATAAGCACGCACAGATTGCCACCGATAGTCAAGTCAAGTCAAAGATGTTTATTGTACTTAAGGCCTTCATCCCATATACAAGTAATTCAAGTATACATAAAGCACGTGTTACAGACATTCCACAAAACAAATTACAGTTCAGATAAGATATTGCTATAAGATATAACAGCATGGTTTACATAAAGCGCTAGATTACGTATTACATTGTTATTGTTGCAGGATAGAATGAAAACAAAGGCAGTTGAAGGATATTTTAACAGATAATTATTTGGGATATGTTGTTCACTTAAATCAGCATAACGTGGGCATACAAATGCGTAGTGAATTTCATCTTCTACAGCCGAGTTACATAATGGACATATCCTTAAAGCTCTCTCTATCAAAAATCGTCTGTCTTTATTTACTGATAAGTCTAACAAGCCCAATCGAAAATTGACAAATGTGTGATATTTCTAGATGTCAGTACAGATAGATACAGTTCTTGTTGAATTAAGCTCTTATATGATCTATACAGTTGATGTCTTGAACTATTGTCTAGACAGGAATGCCATTCTTGATAATACATGCTAACAGATTGTTCTCGAAATTGCTTAAGATATACGTTAATATTACCAAAGCCATATGAAAATAAAAGAGTTCTAAGTCTAAGACAGGTCTGTGCGTCAGAGGTAAGCACGCAGACTATGACCCATGTGCAACGACCTCTGAAGTATCCAACACATAAGAGTAAAGTGTAACAGAAAGTACAACGCATAACGGCGAACTAACTGCAACACGTACTAGCAGAGCAAATTGAACGCAAGGCAGTAATGCATAACAGTCGGTCCAACACATGACAGTAATGTGCAACAGATAGTTCAACACATGACAGTAATGTGCAACCATTAGTTTAACACAAGACTATAATAGTGAATGAAACAGTAGACGCTAATAGTGAATGAAACACATGACAGTAGACTCTAATAGTGAATAAAACACATGACAATAAATTCTAATAGTGAATGAAACACGAGACAGTAGACTCTAATAGTGAATGAAACACATGGCAGTAGACTCTAATAGTGAATGAAACACGTGACAGTAGACTGTAATAGTGAATGAATCACATGACAGTAAACTCTAATAGTGAATGAAACAAATGGCAGTAGACTCTAATAGTGAATGAAACACGTGACAGTAGACTGTAATAGTGAATGAATCACATGACAGTAAACTCTAATAGTGAATGAAACACATGACAATAAATTCTAATAGTGAATGAAACACGTGACAGTAGACTCTAATAGTGAATGAAACAAATGGCAGTAGACTCTAATAGTGAATGAAACACGTGACAGTAGACTCTAATAGTGAATGAAACAAATGGCAGTAGACTCTAATAGTGAATGAAACACATGACAATAAATTCTAATAGTGAATGAAACACGTGACAGTAGACTCTAATAGTGAATGAAACACATGACGGTAACGTGTCACAGTAACTGAAACACATGACAGTAGACTTTAACAATAATAAGTAGGCTCTAAAACATGGCGGAAACACAGTAGACTCTAACAGTAAAGTGAAGACATGAAACACGTGGAAACACATGAGTAGACTTAACACATGGAAACACATGACAGTAGACTCTAATAGTGAATGAAACACATGACGGTACCGTGTCACAGTAACTGAAAACACATGACAGTAGACTTTAACAATAAATGAAACACATGACGGTACCGTGTCACAGTAACTGAAACACATAACAGTAGACTTTAACAATAAATGAAACACATGGCGGTAGGCTCTAATAGTGAACGAAACACATGGGAGTAGACTCTAACAGTACATGGAAACACATGACAGTAGACTTTAACAATAAATGAAACACATGACGGTACCGTGTCACAGTAACTGAAACACATGACAGTAGACTTTAACAATAAATGAAACACATGACGGTACCGTGTCACAGTAACTGAAACACATGACAGTAGACTTTAACAATAAATGAAACACATGACGGTACCGTGTCACAGTAACTGAAAGACATGACAGTAGACTTTAACAATAAATGAAACACATGACGGTAGGTCACAGTAACTGTCACAGTAAAACTGTAAACACATAACTGAAACACAGTAGAGACTAAATGAAACTATGACGGTACCGTGTCAAATGAAACACATGATGTACCGTGTCACAGTAACTTTAACACATAGACTTGAACAATAAACAGAAACACATGGCGGTAGGCTCTAATAGTGAACAGAAACACATGGGAAGACTCTAACAGTAGGCTCTAACATGGGAAACACATGACAGTAGACAATAAATGAAACACATGACGGTACCACAGTAACTGAAACACATGACAGTAGACTTTAACAATAAATGAAAATGAAACACAATAAACGAAACACATGACACCGTGTCACAGTAACTGAAACACATGACAGTAGACTTTAACAATAAATGAAACACATGACGGTACTCTGTCACAGTGAACGTGTGAAACACAGTGTAACAATAAATGAAACACATGACAGTAGTAACTTTGGAAACAATGACAGTAGACTTTAACAATAAATGAAACACATGACGGTACCGTGTCAGTACTGAAACACATGACAGTAGACTTTAACGATAAATGAAACACATGACAGTAGACTCTAATTGTGAACGAAACACATGGGAGTAGACTCTAACAGTACATGGAAACACATGACAGTAGAGCGTCACAGTAAATGAAACACATGACAGTACTTAACAGTATTATTCGTTACACTGCTATACTGAGTCTAACAAAACCTAGTAGAAGGTCGCGTCAACTAACCTTTGAGCAACCTATGACCGTGCAATCAAACGCGAGACGGCCGAACGGGTTTAAGCAATCAGACAACGACTACTTGTTAGGGTTCGGCGGGACTTACAAAACGGTTTTTGGATTTTCTCTTCCCTGACACTGATCTATCAACAAACGAAAATCCGCATAAAACACAGATATTTGACCTGCAGTATATACTTTTATGGGTTTCTAATGACATGGTTACTATTTTCGTAGATTTTCGCAAGATGACATCCTTGAATATTGACAAAAACGCTATTTTCAGCGACTGTTTACTCATTGAGTGTATCACTCGGAGCGATCGTGCGGAAAATACGTTCGGAATCGTTCGAGTTTTTAGGTAAAGGTTCAAACGGTATGTGCGAATGTTAACTTTCGCGATTTGGTAAGCTGTGTTCTGACTGGTCAGTCCAAAAGGTTAGCTGAGGCGACCTTCTACTAGGTTTTGTTAGACTCAGTATAGCAGTGTAACGAATAATACTGAGTCTAAGTTTACTGAGACTGATGAAACACATGACAGTACTTAACAGTAAATGAAACACATGACGATAGAGAGCCACAGTAAATAAAACACATGACAGCAGACTCTAATAGTGGACGAAACACATGATAGCAGACTCTAATAGTGGAGGAAACACATGACAGCAGACTGTAATAGTGGACGAAACACATGACAGCAGACTCTAATAGTGGACGAAACACCTGACAGTAGACTCTGATGGTGACTGAAACAGTGAAACAGGAGATACCAAGTCCTACGTCGGAAAATACTATGTCCTACGTAGGAGATAATGAGACTAAACAAATCACAGTGGTCCTACTACGCTTCCGTAGATAACGAAAATAAGCGAGTCATAATTTATTAACTATTCACCTGAGAATAATGCCAAAGAAGAGACTAGCCACATACATAGATAAATGGATATTGATATATACTGAGTCAAAAAAGAAACTTCACATTCTTTCATCAGGGCACTATAAAAGAACAAGAGATGGTAAGATGGTTAAATTGGTATTATTTCATTGCTGAGATCTGTGTGATGTACTCGGTACACTGACAGTGCCATAATCAGTTCCATTAGGCTACACCGCCGTTCCAAAACATGGGTATACAGAATGTCAAGTCACAAGAATAAAAATGCGAAATTTCTCAGTTCAATATCGTGTATGGCCGCCCCGCGCATTCATCACTGCCAAACACCGTCTCCTCATCGACTGCCTGATGCTTGTGAACACGTGGTTGGGGATTCTGCGCCATTGCTCTTGCAAGGCAGCGCCAAGTTCCTGCAAATTCTGAGGTTGGTTCCTAAGACCACGAAGCCTTCTCCCAAGTGCATCCCAAACGTGCTCTATTGGATTAAGGTCAGGGGACCTCGATGGCCAGTCCATGACGTTGATTCCAGCGTTTTGAAGGAAATTTCGTGTCAACATCGCGGTATGCGGCCGAGCATTATCATACTGGAACTGTAGACCTGGGCCATGAGCCGCCATGAAAGGAACGAGTTCAGGGGTGAGCACCTGGTCGCGGTAAGCAGCAGCTGTGAGGTTTCCACGGATGACCAGAAGTCGGGAACGGTTGTTCCCACAGGAAGCACCCCACACCATGCAACTTCCGCCCCCGAATCTGTCGACTTCTGTACACAACATTGGGCATACCGTTCACGACGTCGTCTCCAGACTCTATGCCTGACGTCCGCGAATCTGAGGATAAACCTGGATTCATCGCTAAAGACGACTCGATTCCAGTCTCTCTGGGTCCATCGGAGGTGACGTTGGGCCCACAGCAGACGTTTACGTTGATGAAACGGCGTCTATATTGGCCCACGATATGGACGTCGAAAATGGAAATTGGCTGCCCGCAACCGATTTCGAATGGTCTGTGAGGACAGTCGACCTCTAAACATCTCAACCCTGGTTCGTGTAGCCGGCAGAAATCTGTCACGTAGGTGACGTAGGACGATTTGACGGTCTTCTGCTCGTGACGTCACACGTGGACGACCCGACCTTGGGCGATCAGAAGTGGTGCCAGTTTGTTGTAGACGACCTCGCAAGTCATACACAGTACGACGGCTGCATCCCATTGTTCTTGCGACGTCAATAACTGATCTTCCCGCTTGCAACATGCCAACGGGACGTTCACGTTGCACATTTGACAATCGTGGCATTTCAAGTACCGTTAGAACTGTGGTTTAAAAGTGTTTTTTCAATTCTTGAGGCCAATGCAAACACGTGCATCTGAAGTAAACTTCGATGCGAAGATCACGTGATCGACTGCACGTGCAAAACCTGATTTGGCACTAACGTCATTTGTACGAGGAATGGATGGGTTTGAGTGGGTTTTGCTAACGTTTTTCTAGAGTCGAAAGATAGGGATCCCATTTCGGATACATAGATGTATCATCAGAGAAAAATTATTCATTATTTTTCAAATTACATTTTGTGAAGTTTCTTTTTTGACTCAGTATATCTGTCTCATTGAAAGACAATGAATTATTAATGCTTTTAGATTACCAGTAGAAAGGTATGTTCAGACAGTCTCTTACAGACAGGCATCCTATGAAAACTCATGGTGTCATTTCGAAAGGACCATCAAGTTCTTCTTCACCATTTACAGATCATGGCAAATTTCCTGATTTGGTGTTTTCACTTTAGTGTGATATGCCAAACATCAGAGATTCAAACATGGAGGAGGAGCCCTTCTTCGAATGGATTTCTTACCTGTTTAAGTGAAGCACAGAATGGTGATTACTTTTGGCAATGTTTTGAAATTGACTTTATTCTTCATTGTTCACAGGCGAGTAGTTCTGTTCTTTCAGAAACGTCATCAATTGGACGTGTTAATGAAGTGCTCCTGTGTCTTCCCTACTAACGCTAAAAGGAACAATGTCGTCCTTGTAGCAGATAATGTTTCAAAGAAAAAACTCGAATATTTGGATTACAACAAGAACACATTTAAAAATATGTTCAATATGGACCATTACACACGAGAGCTGGAGGAATGGGGTCTAGATTCGGATGGCTGTTATATTGTTAATCTTTGGACGGCTGATGAAGAAAATATGAATTACCTTGACCGAATGTGCCTGAATGAAAAACTTGTACACACAGTACAAGTACCTGAAACCCTACTTCATCTAATTCTCTATGACAAAAGTACGAAACATGTTTATTGCTTCGATAAGATAGATAACGTATACAATCTCGTAGCGCTCGCCAATTCAGGTGAGAAGTCGTCTTTGATGGCAGCAAACATTGTATTCGACAGACGGTTGTACACGGGAAATCAGAATAGAAAGACTCTGATTTGGGGTGAAGGTTCATATTTTACAGGTGGTAAAAGATACTATAGTTTTGCGCTTGCAACGTACAATGAAAGTGTGTTGATAGCCCTGGACAACGTCACAGTGCCTGAAAGAAATAGGTTGACGTCTATTTGTGTTGTGAGTGACATATTTATTAGGGCCAGCTCAGGGAGTGAGATAACAGTCTATAACATAACATCTGGTAAAGAACGAACGGTAGACGTATGTGGCAGGTCAAATCGTATCGAAAAAGTTGGGAGCTATGGTCATGAATTCTTTGTGGTGTGTACGTCCACTGTTACCGAAAACATTTTAAACATCTTTGACTTACAGTTACACAAGACTAACTCGACTCAATTTCCACGTGAGTTAGAAATAATAACTGGCTAGCTATGAGGAATACGTAAGCTCACAGTTCTAATGCTTCATGCTTGATGTAAATTGACCGTATGTTGACGTCCGGCTACACACTTTAATGTTGTATGTCTTATCCCAATACAAACAGCTTGTTTTTCGAGTCTTTGTTTACCGTAGCAGTTGTCAACACAGTACCCGGACAGGAAACTGATATACAGGATTACATATAAGTCCAGACCAGTACACCGCCAATAAACATATACCTTTAAAGCATTGAAAAATATGTCTGTTTCTGTTCATAACATGAATCTGGTTTTGTATTATATTCCACTGAAACGAGAGACATGTAATTTACAACTTGTGTGAACTCTTCAATGACTGAAGCTGGATGAATTCAAAGTTGTGAATTTAAGATTTAATCCTGTGTAAATACAAAACTGTTTACTGCAGATGGCATGAATACTTCAAAATCTCCGTAACATTTACATCACTTAAATAACACAAATCTATTGAATGTATTAAATGTTGTTCGGAAATGTTTGGTAGAACTGGCGAATGACGTGCTACTGTGTGTCTTAAACCACGTTGCATACAGTGGTGAAAGGTTAATGATGTGAAACTGCAAGCTTTATTCGAGAGGATGGACCAGACAATCCAGCAACCAACATCATGGGCATCATGTTCTCGTGTCTACGGCACAGATGAACGTTAGATCAGGGCATATGTTCTGGAAGGGAATTGTTTGCGATGGGTTGTGATTTTGGATGGGATAACAGCTGCAGCCAGGACGCCAACGATTATCATTGAGAGGAACTTGAATGTTGCGAGATACCAAGACGAAGTTGTGCAAATGGCCGCTTTACCGTTTTTGCAACAACACGGCTCTCGGGGAACTTTCAATACTAAAACGCAAGACCACGAAGTTGTACAGCAGTATCGTAATCAGAACAATGTTAACGTGTTGCCCTGGTTGCAAGATCCCCTGATTTGACACCCACTGAACACTTCTGGGATGAAACGATGCGACGTTTACGACGTCATCCGAATAAGCCAACAACGCTGTAAGAACTCTGCCAAATCTTCCACAAATGTGGAATGATCATCCCCAGGACTTTCTTCGACGTTTAGTGGCCTCAGTGAAGCGAAGGTGACAGGACTGCATTAATGCACAAGCTGGACACATTAGCTGCTGACCATGTTAACCTGCTTGTGAACCCCTATGAACACTGATTCCGTTTATCGTTTGTGTGCCACTGTTACATTTCCTTTTGAGTAAACATTTAAAAGACATCGGCTATGTACTAAATGCACAACTTACCTTTCTGAACCGTCCGGTAATATGAAAATAATTGGGAGTATTTAATAGTTAGGTTCACGGAATTCTTCAATGTGTCACCAGGGAGGTGTTATATATATTTGATATTTCACTTTCTTACCAGTGTAGACATTCTTGTACTGCTTTCCTTGTCTCTGGAAATCGGAGGTTACTTCGTATTTCTAAGGTACTAAATTACCATAAATGTTATGTTGTAAGCAATCAGCACGTCAGTAAACCACACTCTTGGAGAAATTGTCACCACATATATGTGCTGTAGATAGTCAAAAGGGCGTCAACAACTGAAAGCAACAAAAGTGCTTTAGATTTCAGACCTACGTGTTAGTAGCTAAGAACGATAGCTGATAATTATAAAATGAAATTGCACCCCAAAGTCCTTTTACAAAGTATGAACTCGTTTTGAATCCACGTTGCTGTATGTAGGATGATATACTTTAATATCATTACTCATTTTTTATGTTAATAATCTTAAAAGGAAAAAAATGTACATGGTAAAGATAATAGTAAATATGTCATTATTTTAATGAAGGCTATGTTAAGGATGAGTTTCATGTTCGTTTCATTTGGAATCATTATCAATTTCTTAGAAACAGATACCTATTATTATATTATTATCTGTTTCAATATTTCTAAAAGGGTTTTTTGAAATTAGATGTTAATATATGTATGTATATTTATATTTCCACGTTACTGTACAATGGAAAAAAACACACAACTGTACTATAGGTCATATAGCCATATATTATTAGAAGTAGTGGGATGATAGAATTTAATGAATAGTAAATGTATGTATCATCATTTAAAACCGGCCTCCACATGATATATCGTTTTGTTGGCATCAAGTGATATACTTGCAATGAAGTTCAATCAAGCTGTATTTACACATATACTCAAAGGCCACATGCCTACAGAACACGGACAGTGCAATATGCACATTACACATTTATCTTGGGCATACACATTTCTGTAATTCATTTCTATCACTTCTTTATATATAACCATGCCTTAGTCTTTGAAAGGCCATGTTGATAAATTGTTCAGAGTATTCTACCCTTCACAACTACAATACAGTAACATATTTTAGTACCATTGTTGGAGATCTGTAAGAAGGTATATGTGATAATTGTACCCGAGTAGTATATGTAGTATATGGGACCAGGTCCCCGCAAGGGATCAATTTTTTTTTTAAATTGAGCCCTTGGGAAGTCCCTAATCCTGTAGCCCCATTGTGTATACTACTACTGAGGTGCATGCAAAATGTGATGAAAATCGGTTGAATAGTTTCTGAAATATTGACTTTTAAGTGAGCATGGGGTCGGTCGGGAAAAAGGCTCGGGTCGCCTTGGGGTTGGTTGCTCCTCCGAGCGCTGTGGGCGGACGAGTCGCAGTGCGTGTGCGTGTGTCTCTCTCGGCTTGGTGTACGGGTGGCTGGCTGGCTGGCTACATTAAGCAGAAAAATAGGCATGCAAGACTGATAAAAAATTATGACGAGAAACTATCATCACATGGTGGGTGATGTGTAAGGGACTGTGTCGTGAGGTACGATCATCAACTCCTCTCTGACGAATGCTCTCGGCGGTCCGTCTTTCAAGTAGTACAAGTTCGGTTCGCCGTCTTTGATGTCGACAAGGTCTACGTTGTACGTTTTCATGGACCATATCGGATCGGTGGCGCGTTTTCTGCTGTCTCCCTCGTATTCTCCCGGCTGGTACAAGTACCTAACGCTGACCCGGTTCGGTAATGTTTTCTATGTTTTATCGAGACGTGCTGCTGCCGACGACGATTCGACAGATTTCATTTTGATGGCTTCGACGGGTCTCTTGCCCACGAGTCTGGTGACTTCGTTGTTGATGACATCCACCACTCGTGGTAAGCGTACGACCCATTCCGTGTTTCTGTTTCCGGGATCCATTAAATCCTGCGAGTATTGGTGCGAGAACAGGCGTTCGGCTAGGGTGCGATTGAATCTCTCAACGATGGCTTGGCTATGGTGAGCTCCCGCTATACCTCGTCTCACTTGGACTTTGTGCTTGGCCAGCAGCTGTGACACGGCTCCCATGAACTCGCGTCCGGGATCGACTTGCAATATGGTAGGCCATGTCAAGCGACTGCGTTTGTATATGCGTTCAAAGGCTTTGGCGACTTCGTTCGAATCTTTCGTTGTCAACGGTTCGGCTTCCTTGTAGCGACTGGCGACGTCGACGATGGTCAGGGCGTACTTGTAGGTTTTGCGGTTCACCCTGTTGTGAGGGAGAAACAGGAGGTCGGCTTGGTGGACGCGATTCGGCGTTGAAATGTCGAATTTTCTTCTCGGGATGTATCGAGGCGCCGGCAGGTAGACTTGCCAGATGGCTTGTTTTTAAGCCAGGCTTTGGCTTTCTCTTCCGAGACTCGAGCGGCTTTGGCGAGTTTCGGGATGGCGTCCGCGCCTTTCCAGTACCCTCGCGGGCTGTAATAAATTTTCTCCATGATATATGTACGCATGTGTGCATAAGCGTTCAATTATTCGATACGCGTTTGTGCCCGTACGCATAAGTGGTGACTCCGTCGATGGCAATCCATCGTTTTGTGTCCACGGGAGACAGAGAGGCCTTGTTGATTCTTAGTCCGTATATCCTGTGTCTGTCGCTTCTCAGCATGTTCATTTGGTGGTTGCACATTATATTCTTGAACAGGGCTTCCTTGAATCTGGCGTGCTTGATGTGTTTTTTCACCACGTGTTTTTTCACACCTTTTGCATTTCGGATTTAATCGTTGTCGGCTTTCTTGATGGAATACATCTTGGGTCTCAAGCCGACGTACTCGTTCGTCCTTCATCTTGCCGAGCACATTTGTGTTGACTTGTCTGTGCATAGGGTGATCTTTAGAGTAGTCGCTGGTGTCGTACAGGTGCATGTGTTTTTTCATGTCCTAGTACACGTCCCCAGTGTGAATTTCCATCAGCAGGGAATCTGTGTCCATGTACAGCACTTCGCACCTGTTGCCGTACTGCTTTTTCAGCTCGTTGTAGTAGAAATCGTACATCAAGTGTTTGGATAAGTCGAGGATGCACAGACTGACGCACAGCTTTGACACCGAGGGGATCTCTCGATTTTCGGAAAGGATCTAGCTTTCGTCCGTATTGCGACATTGTTTATATTGAAACTATGTATATTATAAGTTTAATATAAAAATGGCTGACAATATTCCCATGAACGATTTCGACGTACACCAGCTGAACGACGACGATGATGCAGCAGCAGCCATGGACACTTCCTTCATGGGGGACACGTTGGGCAACGAGCTTTTAAAGCAGGCTGTGGACGAGTAGTACGATGCTTTAAAGCGCAATAAAAACTACGTCAAACCATTGGGTCGCGACTATCCGAAGTTCAAAATTGACAACGAATAGACGCTGCAATTGAAAGCTCATCCGGAGGTCGATCTCATGAACAAACACACGAGAAAAACGCTCGCCCTGTCGACGCTAGCCAGTCGCCGTGGCGGTAGTCAACTGATCTGCAACGAACTAAACCTGCGAGATTACGGTGGCGCACGACCCAAACAACTTCCGCCGAAGGTCGTCCGAGATCTGCAAAATGCAAGGACCAAACTCGGTGATGCCGCCGTTGCCAATTCCCAGAGAAATGCCCCAGCGTGCCAAAGAAGCGTAGGACGAAATCGAAAAAATATTGGTCACGTACTCGAATAAACCCTTGCCTGGTTTCGAATTTCCTCTTAGGGAACTTCGGGATATAGACGAAGCCTTGAAAATCGTGTGTGACCGAGTCTTGAACGAGGACACCACGTTGGCTAACAGGATCCGATTTCTGTTCCGAGA